AAACCAGAAAAATACCTGCTGCTGTGTTTGAACTAGTATCTACTACAGTAGAATTAACCTTGAGGTCAGGAAAACATGCAATATTTTCCTGATCCGATGTCCAGATTCTGTCAATATGTTGTACAGCCATGGTGAAAGATCTCCTCTAATTCTCTGTATCCTCTGCTCTCCTTTTATTTGCAGGTTGACTGCCCCAGAAACTTGGCCAAGTCTGTGACCGTGGAGTAGTTACAGTTTACAAAGCCCAGCAGACAAGACAGGTGGCTTTGGGTGACTTACAGAGCGACTGTGCAATCAAACATTGTGTGTGTGTGGCAGGGTCGGGTTGAGGTATGGGGACCGGGGAGCTTGTGCATGTGAGTGTGTGTATGATACTGTGAGTTAAAGAAGAGGCTGCGGAGTATAGAAGGGATTAAGCGGTACAATGAAATAAACACACACGGAAAAATTTAAATGTGAAATCTGACCGTGGCTTTTTGGAACAACTCATGAAACATTCTCGAAGATGCTCATAGCCAAAGAAATCTTCTGTACCTCTTTTTATCAGTAGAGCCAAAAAGTTTTTTTTTACACGAAGAACAGTAAAAAACTGAAATGGTACACTGAAGTGTTTACAATTGTGCAATATGGACCACATACTTGGCTAATGAATGTACATTGTGACAAAGTCATTAATTGTTCTCCTATGTTGAACGTTCGTTAGGGTCATTATACTCTTCATTGTAAAATTTTCATTTTGATATTTCTTTAGAATTTCTTGGTTTTACTGGCCTCGGAGAACAGTGAACTATAATCTTATTTTCTTAATAAAACTATTATATTTTAATTTAAACAGTCTGTTCTGAAGGTGTGCAACCAGGTTCTTTTTAAGGTTTACATACTTCTTACTGGCATAGGGAATACTCTGTGGTATTCAAGGGAAGACTAATTATATATAATTTTTATGGGTTTCATAAATGACAATCTGTACATAACAGATGTTCTTTTTGCTTTTTTGTTATATTTATAGGGGAGAAACAGAAAACTTGATTGATATCTTTATGTTTGTATTTTGTATTGTCTGTTTTTCATGCTAAAAAAAGCACTACAAATCAATAAAGAAATGAAGTATTATTTTTAAACTGCTCAGTTGTATTTGCTTTTTTATTTTCTTCTAGTACTGATCACCATCTGATGGACAATTAATAGTTACCATTGAAATGGACCGATATCCTGCATCAAACTTGGCTTTTTAACCGAGCTCATACATGTTGAGCATATAATACTGGCTCAGAACTTTTTAAAAGCCGAACCTTTGCTTGCTATGAGTATTCACTAAATTATTTCTATGAGTTTTGGGTTATTTTCTTACTATAAAATCCAACTGTATTGAAGTTTAATCCATTTGCTCTAACCTGTTATTCTTTGATGGAAGGTTATTGGTCATGATGTTCAGAAAGAACTCAAGAACCACCAGCCTAAGTTTAGCATACCTAGAAAAAGGCTGAAATACCAGTGTCCCTGCCTTAAGGGTTTAAAGTACCGTAGCCTCAAAAGTTTTCAGTTTTTAATTAATATCCACATTGAACACTTTGTAATGCAGAGGAAAATGTATAGTCACCAATTGATAAATAGTTATTTTGGGTCTTTGCCAAGCAGTTTAAATTTACCCTACTATTGTAGCGACTTTGATCCCCCAACAGAGCCGCTGCTGGCTGTTTTTTTTTTAACTGTGATGCATCTTCAAGAAGCCACCAGGAGCCCCACTTGTGTTTTCGTTCCTATTTGTTGTCCAGTTAGAAAATTACGTCAAAAGAAACGTTTTCCAAAGCTCCTCACACAAGTGCCTGTTGGGTACCCCCCTATTTCTTAAAAATCAAAGGACCACACCCCCTAATCAATCGCCCAAGGTGTAGGGAGATCTGAACACATGTGCTATCAAAGAAATAAACAAAATTTAAACTGTTCTCCTTGCCTTAAAAACGATTTTACTGTTACAAGGGATGTATGTAGAAATTTTAGTCTAGCACTATGACTTGACCCAGTTGGATTAAGGAAATCAACAAAAAACAAAAGTAAAACATCATCATCATCCATCCATCCCGAGTGGGTGCTGGTGCCTATCTCCAGCAGTCAATGGACTAGAGGCAGAGTCCACCCTGGAAAGGTAGCCAGTCCATCGCAGGGCAACACAGAGACAAACAGGACAAACAACCATTCATGCACAGACTCACACCTAAGGAGAATTTAGAGAAGCCAATCAACCTAACAGTCATGTTTTTGGACTGTGGGAGGACGCCGGAGTACCCGGAGAGAACCCACGCATGCTCAGGGAGAACATGCAAACTCCATGCTCGTGTATGAGGTGCCCCCAGGGACATAAATCAGAATTAACTTGCATATACACATATCAAATTATACTCTTCCATATAATATACTGAAAACCTCACACAAACACTAGTAAAAAGCTCTCACATAAACTAGTGAAAACATTGACCTCTTATATAATCTACTCAAAAGCTCTCATACAAAGTAGTGAGAACTGTTCATATAAACTGGTGAAAAGCTTTACTGTACCTTTCATACACACTACTAGAAAGCTTTCATATACACTATTAAAAAGCTCTCATATACACTACTAGAACGCTCTCATATACACTACTAGAACGCTCTCATATACACTATTAGAACGCTCTCATATACACTATTAGAAAGCTCTCATATACACTATTAGAAAGCTCTCATATACACTACTAGAAAGCTTTCTAGTAGTGTATATGAGAGCTTTCTAATAGTGTATATGAGAGCTTTCTAATAGTGTATATGAGAGCGTTCTAGTAGTGTATATGAGAGCTTTCTAATAGTGTATATGAGAGCGTTCTAATAGTGTATATGAGAGCGTTCTAGTAGTGTATATGAGAGCTTTTTAATAGTGTATATGAAAGCTTTCTAGTAGTGTGTATGAAAGGTAAAGCTTTTCACCAGTTTATATGAACAGTTCTCACTACTTTGTATGAGAGCTTTTGAGTAGATTATATAAGAGGTCAATGTTTTCATTAGTTTATGTGAGAGCTTTTTACTAGTGTTTGTGTGAGGTTTTCAGTATATTATATGGAAGAGTGTAATTTAATATGTGTATATGCAAGTTAATTCTGATTTATGTCCCTGGGGGCACCTCATACTCGTGCCACATGATTTCCAATGATGATTCTGCTTAGCAGTGTGATGAACCTCAACGTCTGTTGTTGTTTCCTGCGTCTGTAAGCCCTGATTAGACTATCGTTTGTCGTATCCACTTTGCAAAAGCCGACTCTGTCAGGTAAATTCACCAAAGGCTGGCTTCTTCGCCTGACTCTTCGCAAACAACAAAATATCAGAATTATAATCAAACTTCCTTAATATTACTGGCACTGCCTATTGATTTGCTTGTTTACCTCAAGAGAGCAGTAGTACCGTAGATCGTCACTAGGAGGCCAGAAACCATGCTAGAGAGTGTGTAAACGGTCGTAAGGAACCGCGATCGGCATGGTTAACTGATCTAAGCACGGCACGGAGAGTAGTGTAGATAGGGCTATAGTACGACGGGTCGCAGATGTTGTTGCAACTCCTGAATAACCCAAATTTCTCATCTAAAAATTACCAACTTCCATCAGGTGTGTGAAACAAGAATCGTATTGTAACTTTTAAATTGTAAGTGTTCATGTTGTACTAATGTTTGTAATGTATTGAAAGATTGATAGAAGAGGAGAGTAAGAAGATCAGAAAACTGATAGAAAGAAAATGGTATAAGAGTGGAGAAGGAAGAAAAACAATTTAAAAAAGTTAGGGAGCAGGCAGAAGTCAGAAGAGAGCTAGAAAGAAAAGACGATTGAGAGTGAAGAAGACAGAGAAGACTGAATGACCAGATGCCACTAATTTTATTAATCTTATGAAATACTAGCAATATTTAGAGACACATTCCTGGACTTTACAATTGGTTTTCGTTGTTTAAATATTAATACATTGATAAATGTAAAAGTAGATAAATGCATCACTGTCCCAGTTTCCTAATAAAATTTTGATTTTTATCTACGAGATGGAAATCTGGTCAACTTAGTGTGACTCCAAATCCAGGCCTCCATTGGTTAATGAATTTGATTTCCATTGATAATTTTTGTGTGATTTTTTATTTTTTTTTGTCAGCACATTCAACTTTGTACTGAACTATTTAAGTGTTTCCTTTGTTTGTTTGTTTTTTTATCAGTGTATAATGCTAAACAGGCTCAGTGGCGCAGTGGGTAGCACTGCTGCCTTGCAGCAAGAAGGTTCTGGGTTCCATTATCAGCTCGGGGTCTTTCTGAATGGAGTTTGCATGTTCTCCCTGAGCCTGTGTGGGTTCTCTCCGGGTACTCCGGCTTCCTCCCACAGTGCAAAAACATGACTGTTAGGTTAATTGGCTTCTTTAAATTGTCCTTAGGTGTGAGTGAGTGAGTGGTTGTTTGTCCTGTTTGTCTCTGTGTTGCCCTGTGATGGGCTGGCGTCCTGTCCAGGGTCTACCCTGCGTCTCACCCATAGACAGCTGGAGATAGGCACCAGCGACCCCACTTGGGATTTAGCATGTAAAGAAAATGGATGGATGGTTAATGCTAAACAGAGTGATCACTAATGCTAACCTTTTTTTTTTATTATTGAACAAAAAAAATTATTTACATTTACATTATTTACAAATAGGAATCACTCTTACATAAAAAAGAAGACAACATATATTATAAACTTAAATATTGCAAGGCAACAGAGATAAATGAATTAATAAACAGGCAGTATTATTACAACCAAAGGAAACATACAAAACTTAAGAAAAAAAGGAGAAAATTTGAAAAGAGACAGCTTCATTCTACTACAAGACAGTTCCTTACATCCCGTTAACTTTAGCATTTTGCTGATCAAAAACCAGAAATTTTGACATGTCACTACATAATGCTAATGCTAACCAAACTTTATCAACCAAGTTTTTTGTGTGGACGTGAACTGTACGGGATGACGTCACCTTCCTTCGGCGCTCTGGCTCTGCTGGTTTCGGCTCCTCTGAGCTTCTGCTGCCGCTGCTTAGAGTTTCGCTCGGAACCAGAGCTCTTTCTGCCTCTTACTGGTCGTGACTGTGGTCCTTTTTTTAAACACAATTCTCTGAAATTATTCGTAAAAAGGGGGGAGAGAGTTTGACCCACGTTTTGGATGCATGGGAGCTTCCTGGGAGCGGCGAAAGGAGAAGGTAGGTTGAACTGCTGCAGCTACCGCCTCCTCTCCTCGTCCCTCTTCGGACTGTCAGGGCTTCCAGCTCAGCCCCGGCGGCCCGATTACCGCATTGCTACCCAAGGAATGGCGTCAGACTGCTAGTTTAGGGCCCACTGACCGGTGTGTCCGGTTAAGCTTTGGCTAATTTCAGCTAATTTTGGTGCGACTGTAGTCCTGTGAATCACCCTCTCAGCTGTTACAGCAGCGAATACCACCAGTCTCAAACTATTTATTTTATTGCATGAATATCCTGTTATTGTGTCTCTGCTTAAATGTTATCTGTACCTTTGGTTTGGTTTGGTTGATATAGCTCAACGCCATCAAATCGACATAAACATGCAGACAGCTGTTTAACACAAACACAGCTGCAATGTGATGATCGCATGGACTATTTTCACCCTCATCTGGTTTATTTTCCATGCCAGATACATGTCAACGAATCAGCGTCTGTATATAGTCACTGAATTTACCTGTCATGTGTAGAGGAATCACAGAAGCATTCACTTCCACCTTAAGGTTAATCCTCCCCCCTCCTTAAATTGCCATTTGAAACAGCAGCTGCAGCATCATGGGTGTAGTTGTAGATGCTACATGACAATGACACATACTTTTCAGGTCATGTTAATCTGATATGAGCTCACCGACTCTCCTTATCCACCTCCCCACTGAGAGCCACGTCAGAACCCAAAGCTGGGCTCAGCTCATGAGTTATTGTTGAGGATGCTGAGGATTTTATGAAGGTCACAGCTCTCATCAGTTCTCCTAAACTAGTAAGGTTAAAAAAAGTATATACATATATCATGTCAATCCTATTCGTCACCATCAGGCATGTAATGGTATGAGATTTTTATGATTTCCTTGATGTGGAAAACCCTTTGTTCATATTTGGAGAGCACACAACTAATTCAAAACTAATACATATCAAAACGGCCTGCCATAGTCTGTTCAATTCAATTCAGTTTATTTCTATAGCGCCAATTCACAACACATGTCATCTCAAGGCACTTTACAGTTCACCAGATCATACAGTGAAATTGATTCAAAGTTTTCTATTTAAGGAAAACCATCTGATTGCATTGACTGGTTGAGTCGAATGGAATCCCTCACACTAAGCATGCTTGTAGCGACAGTGGAGAGGAAAAACTACCTTTTAACAGGAAGAAACCTCCAGCAGAACCAGGCTCAGTGTGAGCGGCCATCTGCAGAGGCCGACTGGGGTTCAAGGAGACAGAAGCAGAGATACAAAAAGTAACTGTAAAAGGCAGCCCCGTCCAGGAAACACACAGCCAGGCAGACGAGCTCCGAACCAACTTCCTTGTCAGAGGATGAAGAGAGCACATCCAGCCAGTCACAGTCAGAGAAACAGGATTACACTGGAAAAATAAGCCGATCTCCACCATCCATAAACAAAGGTGTTGGCAACAGCACAGCTGATATTTCTCTCCTTGGTAGAGCTGGATAAAAAAAATTGATTTAATCGATTTTGAATCGATTCCTTTACATTTTTGCAAAATCAATGTCTAGGGAATGAGATCGATTAGTTTCGATTAGTTGTGAAATGCGTGACGTTCACATTCAAATGAGCAGGAAAGATGCACTCAAGCTTACTTCAAGCCAGATAGCTGCAAGTATAGCCAATAGGTTGACTGAAGATTTTTTCAGTTTTCACAAACAAGTTTGCACTTATGAGACAGTTTTGGTCACATCTCAAGTTTAAATTGTCTAATTTACAAGTTTACACTTTTTGTTTAACGTGACAGGAAATATTAAAAAACATGAGTATTTTGAAACACAGTTGAACCACTTTCATTTTTGTAAAAGCAGATTGAATCGAATTTCATCGATTTAGAATTGTATTAATCAAATCGAATCGATTCAGGACTTTGGTGAAAATACCCAGCCCTACTCCTGGGTGTCAAACAGGAACAGATGAGGCAAAGCTACTATGAGAAAAGGCAGAGAGAGCATAACGTTAGAGATTAAACTAACAGATTCTGCAGAGTGGAAGAATAGAGATAGAATGAAGCAAAATCATAAAATAGGGTTCCCTATGTCCTCCAGAAGTCTAAGCCTATAGCAGCATAACTATAGAGATTGCTCAGAATAACCAAGATAAAAGGGGGGGAGGGGGGGCGACTAGTTTATTACTTGAATGGTATTGGATTAATGTATTCTATTTACCTGACAGCAGGTGAATGCGAAGAATAAAAAGGTTCTATCAGGTAGGACGTTTGCATCAACACATGGGGTTCCCCATATTCATTCTGTCTTCCATCATTCAGTACCTAATGGCAATTTGCAGCCGTTTCAGATGTTATCATCCGAACATATGGCCTTTTTTTTAGTGATTAGTCGCAAAGAATGACTTCAGATTGTACCTCTTACCTAGCAGTAGGTTGGTTGTTATCACCAAATTGTAATCCTTATCCTTTCCCTAAGGTTATTCCTTTTTTAGGAATAACCGCATTGAAACCATGTGACTGAAACATGTGGGATTCATTTGAATTAAAGCTTTAAAAAGCAGATAAGAAATAGACTGTAAATAAAGTAGGGCTGAAACTGAGGATTATTTTGCAAATTGATTAATCTGTCAATTCTTTTCTTGAGTAATCAATTAATAATCAGATAGCCAAACATTCCTTAAAGAAGATTTTTTACGAAATTCGACTTTTCCACTCAAGGCATTCTAAATAGAGCATATTGACAGAAGAAAACATTCTTTTTTTTTAATATTAAATGACATTTTTTTATATATTTTTTTACAATCTTGGTGTAATTACTGCTAAAAGGGGGTCAGCTAAAGGCATATTTTACAGTCTCTATACTCCAGTTAACTTATGAATTGATTTCTAAATTAGTTGACGATTATTTCAATTATCGATTAATCATGATTAATCCGATTAATTGTTTCAGCTGTAAAATAAACAAGATAAAGATATAAAGTAGGTATAAAGTAAATAAAACTTGTGGTTTTAGATGTGGCTGTTTTGTTTGTGTTTCTAACACTTAATGTGTCTAACCTAGTAAATTATTTTATTTTGCTCTTTGCACAAAACTATGAAAAAAATCTCTAGTAAATTAGGAAATGAAACGACTTGATTGGCTTTAAGGAGGGCAGAGACAGAGGACACTCTGAGTTTATTTAGGAAAATCTGCTTCTGAACAGCTCTGAGGAGGATGTTACTACGGTAACAGACACAGAAGTCGAGGAAACTCTTTGTAAAACTCAGATTTCAGGTTTAAAAACTTAGTTTTCAGTAAACTTGCTAAGTGAAACCTTAGTTAAACCTCTTTGTGTTCATTAAAAGAAGTTTGATAGTCTGATTTTTTAAAATATTTTTTTATTGTCTGTAAAAATCCCCCCTTGCATAATATTTACATGAATTTGTTTTATTTAAAGCAGGCACTTGGCCTGTTTTAAATCTCATGTCTTTTGTGCTAAACATGAATTGCAGTGGTTCTATGCTGTTTAGCAAAAAGACAAATCTCTCCAGTTTTAATCCTGCTAAGGCAAAAATCTCCATCTAGGTGTTAGTGAGACCTTTTTTCAGAATAATGTTGTTTCGTTAAGGCCTGAACACACTGGTTGCATTCGACTTTTTAATCTCTGATCCAAGTCACACTGACTGTGAAAGAGAGGCTGTGAGCAGATCTGAGCAGAATGTTTTCACTTGTGTCTCTGTGCTATACACAATTTAAAACAATTTCCCATATTTGACTTGGCAAGATTATGAAAAGTATTTAAATAATAAATAAAAAGCTACCAGCGCAGCTATAAAGCAAAGCGCCAATTAACAAGTCTGTGGAGCATCTCAAACCAGATCAGATAGAGAATGTTCCTACGCCTGTATTAAAAACATAATGAGATCTACATCTGAAGAAAAGAAAAAAACAGCAATAAACGCCTTGGGATGATTTATATGCTGACTGAGGCAGACAGAGGTTATTCTCGGAGAGATCTTTAAAGTTCTTCTTTCTTTTTGTCATAGAGAGGTGAGAGATATGCAGTGCTTACCTGCTTTATTTGCACTTCATTATTTTGTTTTTTTGTGAGGCTCAAATAGGATCAGTATTTTACTTTTTTATCCTTTTTTAATCCTGAAGTAATATTTTTGTTCAAAGGGATTGATAAACTGCACTTTCTGTCCCTCGTTGTTTTTTTTGAGGCTCTAAGATGGTCACTACTTTATATTTTCTGTCCTCCTGAACTCCTATCGTGGGTAAAGTATTCTCGTTTTGATTTTTTTATTCCTTGTTTTCTGTTCTGCTTATTATAAACAGAATACGCACCTCCATAAACTGACTGTTTCCCCGTGCGATTAACAGATTTTTTTTGGATTTTCCCTCAAAGCGTGTTTTACTTTGTAACCGCGTCTCTCTTCCTGTCAGACCCATGTAATTGCAGCTGAATTGCTGCCAGTTCTACCTAAAATAGACTATCTCAGTCGCACCTAAGCCCCCCTTGCATGAAATCATGTCGGCGGTGATCATCCCCATTGATTTTAATTGGCGCTAATCGCCACAACCTCGTCTGACACAATTTTCTGTCGGATCGGACACAACGACTTGGTGTTCTGGCCTTTACGACATTGGCATCAGTTATGTGTTCAATCCACCACTGTGTTCATTTTCTCTTTTTTTCACCCACTCTTGCAGATGCATGAATATAGTTTGGAGTTTCTAACTTTGTCATGATGCACTCATCACTAAGGGCTAGAAATATGATCACGATGGAGGCTGTGACTCATCCACCTTGCTAGTCACCTACAGTAGTCCAGATTTCACCTAGGAATATCAGATTTACCCTATTCTAAATAAATTATATTGAAATATGCACACATATCTGAAATTTAATCCAGATTTGTCAAAAACAAGAGAATATAATAAAATATCACACCATTTAGTTTCTGTTATGGAAATATAAGTAGTGTGCTGATCTATCTAGGCTTGATAGAAAACATACTGTAATATTATAAT